CCTCAGCACATCAGTTGTATTACCAAAGAAAAATAACAATGGTTTTAGTCCTGACCTTAAGCCAGCAGAAATGTTAAATGTCCTGAAGTGAGCAGTTCATGTGTGGAAACCAACCATCTCAAAAATGAATGTGTTCTGATCATATTTCTCACCATTCTGATCAAAATGGGTTAAAATTCTTCCACATTGATGTGCAGGACTGATGAAAAGTTAACGCTTTTGCAGCAGCTATTGCAGCACAAGTTGGCTCCACCAGATACTGAAGCAGAGTTTCTCATGCCTTTTCTTCCTCACATATCTGTGAGAATCTTTGTAAAGTCTGTTTTGGTTTCATTTGTTATTTTTTTTATTTACACATATATTCACAACGTATAGCTGTTGTCAATAGTGAGACTTGCTATATTGACATTTAAAATGAGGGATGACACAGAAGGTTAGCCCCCAGCTGTCTGATGTCATGTATCGGTGATCTGTTCAGTCCTACACAACTGAAACTAGTCAGCCTTATGAAGAAGTGTGCACATGTCCACATGCATGCATAGCACATACACTGTTATTTTGCCTTGAAGCTCTCAGCCCACCACCTTAGTGTTTGACCCTGACAAACTCAGTATTTGCTGGTGCCACTGGCAGCAAAATTAATTGCAAGCGATATAGGCTTATTCAAACACATACCAAGGATCTAGTTCCCAATTGCTCATTTCCTGAGTGGAGTAGCTATTTATTTTCTTGGTACTCTAACTTGTGCTTTTTTTTTTTTCTTAAAAACATTGGTAGGTTATTATTTATTGTAGTTGGAGAGTGTTGGTATGGTAGACTTACATTAATTCTGTGTTTTTCCCACCTTTCATTTATTTTATAAAATAGAGACTTACAAATGTAAATGAAGGGACAAAACACTTGATCTCACTTTATATGCATAGTCCTCTTAAAAGAACAATTTTAAACCCCCTTTTTTTTCTTCCACATCTACTTTTTGTAATCTCAAGAGAGTGAGTCTTTCCATTAAGAGTTGTTTTTTTTTTTTTTTTAATCTGGAAAATGATCCTGTGCTCACGGTTCTATTCCCCAGGTTCTCGTTCTACATCTTTCAGTTGCTATTAATTGGATTTTTGCCCAGTGTTTGTGCATCACATTTCAAAAAGACGTTTGAATATATCCTAAATTTTTTTTGTTTCATTTCTTTTACTGAAACAGGTATTTTCTGACATTTCTTAAACACAATCTCCTGCAAGGATGTGCGTCTGGATCAGTGATACACGGCATGAAAAGGCTTTTCAGGCTTGAGCTTTAAGGAAGCCTTTGGTAATACAATAAATTTATTGTTGGCTTTTCTTTTTCTTTTTTTTAAATTTATTGGTAAAAAAAAAATAGATTCAGATTTATTCTTGATGTGTTTGAAGCTAGACTTTAGGGTGATCCGTGTGTTTGCTGTCCATGTAATGAAAATGTTCCACTTTGCTGTTTAAAAACAAACAAAACAAAAATGCTGTATGTTAAAGGACACCTATCAGCCAGCACTCTGTGTGTCCACAGCTTTGTCTCACTGAGCTGTACGTACCACAGGCTGATGTCTGCTGATATGGAAATGCATCTGTTAAGCAGATTAAAGTCTTGTAGTGCTTTGCTGATCAGTGTATAAATGGTTTACCATCTTTTGCATTATTGCATCAGTGAGGGTTTGTTTGAATGAGCTCCTGATTAGGATTTAGATGAAATGGTATGGTATGAATGGTATTATTCAGTGTGACTAAAATCCAAATACAACATTCTCCTTTCAGAGGGTGATATCCCAGACTGCCATGAGGAGCATTCATATAATATGGATCTGCATTGTAGCTTCAGAGGAAGAGATGATGATGATTTCACATTTCTCAGTTTCTTTCCCATCAGAGATATGTGCAAATATTATATTTCAGTAATTGAACATGTAGCAGTGATTGAAGTATTCCTTGTACTGTGTAATCAAATTATCCACTGAGGCTGTGTCTCTAATTGGGTGCAGATGTTTAGTACGAATTTTAGTTTAGTGGGGCTAAAACTGGCCGTTATTTATCGTTGTGATTTATTCAGCTTTAAAAAGAAGGGAACTACGCAGAAACAAACTCATTAGAAAGAACTACTGCAGGCGGTTTGGTTTGATTGAATAGGTTGACCGGAATAACTTTTTAGAAGAATCTTTTATGTATGCTGGCCTCCTACAGCTTGTTAACATATGGAGATTTGGTTCTTTTATGGCATTAAGATGATAAATGAGTTTCTCACCTCCTTGCAATGTGCTAAAAATGGCAGTTAATGCTCCAGGGTAGTGTGTGTGTGTGTGATAGAGAGAGGGAATATGTGTGAAAGCTTTTCCATTTTCTCTGACTTTTTTTTCCTCCCCTCCGTAGTGAAAATTGAAACAATGGGTAGCACTTTACTTTAACCCTTAAACAGCATTTTTAAGCTAATACTAATTTGCATTAGGGCAGTTGTAAGAAGATTTAAGTGGAATTTGCAACAGCTCCTGTGGACACCTGTAAGTGGATGCACCTGTGTAAACACAATAAAGCTTGGATGTGTACCAAACTTGTGGAAATGGCAGTTTTCATTGTCACACTTCATCCTGCTATACTTCAAAAACTAACTAACTAAGAAATACAAAAAAATACAAAAGAAATACAAAATACCAAGATGCTGTTGACTTGGCCTCCAAACTGTCAAGTTCTCAGACCTATTGAGCGTTTTAGGGAAGGTTAATAGAACAAGTAGCATCAGCAGAGATCCTGCACAACAACTTCCGGAACTCAAATGATTTGGATTTCTAGATGAAACCAGAGGTGTTCTGTCCATGCCCTGATGGGTCAGGTTGTTTTTGACATCATAGAGGCGGCAATTTAAAAAAAAATCTCCAAAGAACATTGGGCAACAATTCCTACACAGTGATGTGACAAACTCACAATTATCACAGATCTTGATTGGAGTTCTTATCTGATTTAGGAGGGAAGTGCTTTTTCACACAGGGTCAAGTAAGATCGAAGAGCTTTTTTTGTCCTTTAATAAATGAAATAATGCTTTCAAAGCTGCACTTTGTATTTATTCAGGTTATGTTTTTCTAAATTTTAGCATCAGTTTGATGATCTGACACATTTAAGTGTGATAAATACGCATAAAACTAAGAAGCCAGGAGGGAAGCGAATACTTTTCACAGCACTGTAAATGTTATTATCTCCCTGCTACTTCCTCCACTGCTGTCATTGTCATAAAGCAAATAATTAACCACGTACTTTCTAATATGAGGCCATGCAATTATTTCACTGTAACAGCGAAATAGCATGCCCTAAATAAATTGAGGTCAATTGAGGTTGTGTTGGGGATGAATGCACATGGAAAAATTATGAAAATGCACTTCTGCACATTTACAAGAAAATGTAGATCAAAGCTACACCATATATGAAAAAAAGATGAATCATCTTCTGTGTAAATGGATGTATTCAGCCTTTAAACAGGCAATGGTTAATGCTTCAGTGGCCCTTTTACATGAAAAAAGCCACAAATTTGACTGCAAGAGAAAATAAAATGTATTTCCAGTGCTTTTTTCACATTTGTGATAACCTGAAGCAAAATGAAAATGTTTGCCTCAGCTGAAAGTATAATGAGCAACAGTTGGTTCTTCAGTTTATTATAAGAAAAAACTACATGGAAAGCACTCGAGTGGGCCCTTCACTGCTGCTGACTTTTGAAGGTTTCACTGAAGAGAAAAACTTCCTTTGTGCTCACAAAATAAAGTGTTAAACATGCCCATGGATGGCTGGATAGAGGGGTGAAGGCATCATTCTTTTTGTCTTTATGTTCTCCACTTAGTGCTGACCTTCCCTTTCTGTGAATCCTCATGAGTGCCCTGTTCCAAGACCCTCACTCTCTTCAGCAAATGATGCCATCTTTGGTCCCTCTTGTAAACAGTTTGAATGTAAAAATGTGTCTGATTATCATACACTTAGGCTACTGTTGTGCGTCCAGAAAATTTAGAGTAGCACAGTAAAGACGGTAGGTTATGCGTGTTGCCAAGGCAATCTAATGACTAGCCAGCATTAGGAAGGTATGACAAGAGAAATTTTTACCTTTTTCCCTGGTCGACCAAAGTTAACCACTTTGCTGTATTGTGTTCCTATAACATATTATACTGATTTGACTTAAAACTAGCAAATGTTTCAAGTCTTCCTCGTTGATCAAAGCTACACTAGTTGTTCCAGTTCTACTACCCGCTGTTTTCTCCATTTGAACATTTTCTACGTATTAAACGATCAGTATAAACTGCCGGCAGAGATTTTAAATGTATTAGTAACTCCATCATCTATATCAAATTTATACAGTATATACTAAAATATACTAAATTCATCTTGTTGTAGGCCAGATTTTTTTTATCCATTGTGATTTGACTTATTGCTACGATCACATCTTTGTCCTCACCAGGGGTCAAAGTAGGAAACTTTGTAGGACCAGGACAAAATCATTACTTACTTTGGCACACAAACGAATGCCTTGATTTTTCTTCATGGCAGTGCACTGTAGGAAAAAGAAAAAAGAAACGGTACCTATTGCAGTTAACATGTGCAAGCCCCTTAGGGTCTCCACCACTATTTGTGTGGCCATTCTTTAGCTTTTAGTGGTCCTGCCACTCTTTGGCTGTGCGCCGGCTCCACACTCATTGATCTGTATCTTTGTGTCTCTATAATATAAATGTGAATATTTAACAGTGTAAACCTGGAAAGAAGACGAAAGAGTGCAAGAGAAAAGGGAGGATATAGTTACTCCCTATAGAAAAGAAGCATTAAGAAGGATGAGTTGTGCTGCTGTGGACTGAAAGTGATGAATGTTCGTCTCTGTTGGGAGCGACACTTCCTGTGTGTCAGTATGGAGTCGGTGCCTGTGAAATCGTATTTCCCAGTGGTTTATGTGCTTGGCTGAGTTAGTATATAATCCACTAACACATCCTCTCCTTTTGTCTCATCTCCTCTCAGAAACTAAAGCTGAACTTGAGGATCTTATGGCAGACATCAAGAAGTTGGCCAACAAAGTACGCTCCAAGTTAAAGAGTGGGTATACTTTCTTTCTCTTTTCGCCTGCCAGAGCCACTACTATTATTTTCTATGCTGCTTCAACTTTTTTGCATTTGTTTAATTTATTTAAATGTGCCTTGTTCTGAGAATTAGTGACCAGTTGGTTCCCAAAACTCTGATTGGCATCCAAAAATTATTGCACTTTTGAGTATGACAGGGTTTTTATGTAATAAATGCTTAAAATTGTTTTATTGTCTACACGGATGTGAGGCATTTTCTAATAACTGTGAATGAAACTACCAGGAATAAAATTTTTAATTTAATTTTTTTAATCTCTTTTTTAAAGCAAAAAGTCTGAAATATTTTAAGGTTGCAGTTTCTCAGATGTGAGAATTTGCAGCTTTTCCTTGATCACTGTAAACTGAAAAATGAAGGCTTTGGACTGCCAACATGGGACTATAGAGATTCTGACAAGCATTTTCAATGTGTTAGCAAATTGAATATCTTAAATTCATACATTGCAGAGACCAATTAACTGGTTAATGACCATGTAAAATAATTTTCTTGCCCTGTTTATTATATGTGTGCACAGTGGTTTATCTCGTAGTCCTGGTACTTTCTTAGGATCGGAGAGATGGTAACAAGCGAGACATAATGAGACAGTGAACTGTATAGCATTTGGCAGCTGACAGACGACTTGGTTTACACTCATAGATTCAGTAAAGAAATAACGGTATACTCTGTATTAAAGGAAGATAAAATATATACTTCGGTGCACAGAACTAGAAGATGATTGCCTTATCCTTCATCTGGCATGCCTACAGCCTGGAGACACAAAGATAAGCACACATATATGTATCGGGAGGCACACGATGTCAGGCAGACCAGGCCTTGCATCACAGTCCACTGTGTCACTCCAGTTCACGTCATTTGATGCCACGGGATACCTTTGTGTTGCTGCTTTCTGTGTGTTTCACTGAGTGACCTCAGAGTGCACCCTATGATAGATCCTGAAGAGGGAGCAACAGCAGTTACTTTTTATATATAGTAGGAGAAATAATTATTTGAACCCCTGGTGAATTTGCTCAGTTTGCTCACTGGAATTAACAGCCTCTAATTTTTATGATGGTTTCATTTTATTGGAGAGAGACAGAATATTGACCAAAAACACAGAAAAAAACACATAAAAGTTAGAAATTGATTTGCATGCTGTTCAGTGAAATAAGTATTTGATCCCCTCCTACCCTGCAAGAACTCAGGCTAGCATAGATGTAGCATACAAATCAGAATCAGTGAATAAACTCATTATGTGCATAAAGCACACCTGTCCGGACCTCTTCACCACCATGGGCAACATCAAATAGCTGTCAAAGGACATCAGGTACAAATTTAGACCTGCACAAGGCTGGAATGGGCTAAAATACCATCAGCAAGAAGCTTGGTGAACACTATATAAATAAAATTGAATTGACGTTGACAGCTGTTGGTGCAATAATTTGGAAATGGAATAAATATAAAATGACCATCAGTTACCCTCATGGGTCATGAAGTCAGGATGATCATGAGAAAAGTGGTGGGTCGGCACAAAACTACACCAGAGGAGTTTATTCATGATCTAAAAGCAGTTGGAACCACAGTCACCCTGAACACCATTCATTACACAGCATGACAAAGACTGAAAACATGTCTTAAAGGCTACAATGGAGTGGCTAAATAAGAAGCATTTTGAGGTCATGGCGTGGGCTTTCCAGTCTCCAGACCTCAGTCAGTTGGGGGGCTGAAACAGCAGAAATCTAAAGGATTTAGAGTTTCTGTAAAGAGGAGTGAATCAAAATCCCTCCTGAAATCTGTGCAAACCTGATGACCAAGAACAATTAAACAGCTTACCACTGTGTTCAGCAACAAAGTGTTCTCCACCTGTTTTGCTTCAGGATCAAATACTCATTTCAATCAATGACATGCAATTCAATCTATATATTTTATGTAATGTGTTTTTTCTGATGTTATGTCTCCCTCCATTAAAATGAAACTACTATAAAAATTTCTTTGTAAGTGAGCAAAATTACAAATTTAGCAGACGACCAAATAATTATTTTCTCCACTGTATTTCATGTGTATTCTTTAACAATTATGAATAATTCAAAATGTCTTTGCAAACAGACAACAGATGGTTCAGAGGTCGATCTTGGTCTTTTTGAATTATGGTCATTTTGGTAAATCAAAATGAACATAAAGTTATTATATTAATCGCTGCTGAAGTTCTGCAGGCAAGCACTTGTGGAAGTCAAGAAAACTGGCTCAATGCAGTTTTGTTTTTATTTATTTGAAGTAGTTGTTTGAATCTGGCATTTTTATCATCAGCACAATCACAACAACATAACAAAATACTGGAATCACCAGGCAACCACTGATTTATTTATTTTTAATTGGTTGTAAGGTGACTGCAGTCTTATTTTTGCTTTAGAGTGACTCATGAGGTCAATTGTTTACTTAGTTTTAAAGAAAGTTTATTTCAAGAAATACCAAGAATTCAAATAAGTAGTTTTAAGCATCAAAATAGCAAAATTGAAAAATAAGACAATTAAAAAGTGAATTCTTTGTACCTTCTAGAAAACTGGTAAATGTACCAAATGCCTTTTTCAATAGCTTTCCAGTTAAGAATAAAGATGGGAAATTATAGTACTAATGAGCATTTTTAATTTCACAATACCAATACTGCATTGAGTACTGCATATACAGTCTGCTTTAGCTGTTAAGGACCTCTTATACTGCATTTGTGCTAGTGGTTTATTTTCATGCACCTAAACTACTTATTAAGAAAAAACTTGTATAAGTAGTGAAGCAAAGGTTCGTTTTCTGTGCTGTGGACAAGACATACCTAATTAGCTATATGTGCCTAGAGTTATAAATACTCTTAGGTTGTACTGAGTGCAGCCTGGCACTGTGAAGACACAGACTTAACAAGCTCAAAGAGTGGATTTAATCATGCTCTCAGTGGTTTTGGAAACACATTCAAGGCAAAAATCCAATTTGAAATGATTTCTAAATGATGCATAATACTGATTATGTTAAAGTAAATCAAAAACCCATTGTGGATTTTCCTGGAACAATTAAAATACAATGTCTCCTTTGTGACACAACCAATTATTGTGTTAAATAAATAAAGCAACTCCTCTAGCCTGTCTGGGTTTTCCAAATAATACACAGTTGTAGTTAATTGGCAAAAAGGAAGCATCCCCAGTGGCTGAATCGATCAGGACCGATCGATAAATGGATGTTAAATGAACTTGTTTTTCAGAGATCCTGAAAGCAAGTAATTTATTATGAGTTATCATGTTTTTAACACCCTATGAGCTGTGATAGTTTGTTATACTGAAGCTGTGTGTATAAATAGAAACGAACACAGACCCTTACAGTAACAAGTCAGGTGTAGCTGCACATCTCACTGTAAGATGTGTCCATGAAGGTGTAGCAGCCTTCATCAGCCATCCAATCCCATCTTAAATAATGAAAAACTGGATTTGTATATTTCAGCAACTGTACTTCCCGTGGCCTCTGATGGCCTTTCATTTACATTATTATGCTCGGCAGCATCTTCCTGATGTGTGACAGTGAAGAAGCAGTCAAGAAAAAGTGACTATTACATACTAACATGTCACTGGAAAACTAGAACGGGAACAGTCACCCCAGTAATTTGTACCTTGATGAATTTCTTAATAGTCGCTGCTTCTTCCACATCATCAATTATTCATCTGAGTGACTGATTTGACGTATGATTAGTTAATCTTTGTGTCATGCATGTATGGCAATCTTAGTGCATTACCACATTATTATACGTAGATATAATAACCACCCCCCGGGTTATAATTATAGTTTAATACATAGATCATAGATCACATCCTCTTGATTACAGGTGTTGAATTAGAATTTAATTCCCCTATTGACAAAGTGTCCAGCACTTTCACTCCCAGCTCGACAAGCATTGACCGAATGCGGTAAAAGATTCACAGCCTCCAGAGTGTTATTGATTATGATTTGACCTCCTAGCCTTTCCTCTTGTAACAGTTCATCCTTTCCCTTGTCCATCTTGTAACAAGGTATCTCAAAAACAAATAGCTGGATTTCTAATAAATTTGGATGTGTATGTTTGTGGTCTCCAGATATTGAATTCTTGTATTTTTAATAACCTCTGGACCTTTCTTCTTGCTCTAGCCTCAGGACAAAATGCCAGATCTGCACACAAAATGAACTGCCGTTCCTCATAATCTATTTAGCAGAGTACCATGAGGATTTGTGAGCACAGTTCTGCTCTCGTGGTTACAGTTCATTTTTGATTTTTATTAACCTCCTCGTCTTTCCTCTGGTATCATCAACGGATTCGTACCCTTATTTTCACTACTGCTGAACAGCTAAATCATTGGTATCTTTGTTAATTCATCTAATCTGTACGTTGTGTATGATTTAATTAATCTCTACAGGCAGCCAGCAGCATTGGAGGCTTTATTCAAGGACAGCAGCTGTATGTTGATCAAATGTGTACTTTTGTGCATTTGCCCAGGTATCCAACAAACCATTGAGCAAGAGGAGGGGCAGAACAGGTCATCGGCTGACCTGAGGATACGTAAAACACAGGTACAGTTCAGGGAAGCAGCAGAATCACAGCTGTGCTCCAGTTGCATCTTACTGCATGACGGTGAGCCATATTTGAGTACTTGAGTTAACACCCTCCCCACTCTGTGAGGACATAGAATCACTGGATTTCTCTCAGACAATCAGCAAAGATGAGACAACTTCACAGATGATGAAATCATGGCATTCAAACTCTAACCATAATCACAAATAAAACTCACATGGGAGAGGTTCCTCCATTACCTCCTCCCATTACAATGTGAATTAATGGTGTCTATCAAACAGCACATGAAAAAATCAAGTGTTTCTTTTAGTATTCATAGTATAGTATTATACTCACTGCTTTGAGTATACTTGTTGGGCCTATTTGTCCTATTTCCATTCTGAACACGCTACATTTGCATGTAATTAGTGTGTAATATGCAGTTGGTACACTGCTACACTCCTGTTCACGTAGCATTGACTTTATTCTTACTTCTCTTATTTACTGTCTGGCGCCAGCATCAGTCGGACTCAGGTGAAGTGGTTTGTTGTTTCTCCTTGTCTCTGCAGCACTCCACACTGTCCCGTAAATTTGTCGAGGTGATGTCAGAATACAACACCACTCAGTCGGACTACAGGGAGCGCTGCAAGGGACGCATTCAGAGACAACTGGAGATTAGTGAGTAGACCCAGGAGACTAAAGCCACCGCCACCCCTCAAACTGTGACTGTACCTGTGTGAACACTGCACCGATTCAGAACATCTACATCTATTGTCATATGCCAGATAAAAACATCTTAATTGTTGTTCTAATTTGTATTTTCTATCTGGTTTGTCTGATCCCACCTAGAACACACCCTCTTATCGTACAGTATAACATCTAACTCTTGTGTAGGTGTGCTGTTGCTACACTGTGAACAAAATGGTCAGCTTTAGTCATCTCTGTCCAAAAAAAAGGCTGTCAAAATCACTTTTCCCACATTTCCTAGCATGTGTTTTATCCTCAGGCCAAGCATCGTCCTCTTCATATCTGTCCTCCCTCTTATTACTCAGATGTTGAATTCATGTTAATTGGGCTGAAAATGAGATCTGCATCCCTTTTTTTTTTTCTGAACTGTTTATCCAGCTTAGGGGAGATGGAGCTTATCCCTGCTGGCACCGGGGCCTAAAGCAACATTCATGCCTACATTCACACCTACATCAATATAGAATAACCAATTAACCTAACATGCATTTTTTTTGGACTATGGGAACAAGCCAGAGAAGCCTTGGAGGACCCACACAGGCAAAGAGAGAACATCCAAACACAGAAAGGGTCTCAGTTGGCGGTGACGCACTCCTTCTTCTTATCCTTCTTTCAGCTGCTCCCCTTTTGGGGTCACCACAGCAGATAATGTGCCTTAGGCCATGTCCACACTAAAACGTTTTCATTTGAAAACGCATTTTTTTCTCTCCGTTTTGGCTTTCCGTCCACATTGAGACGGCGTTTTTGGTCAAGGAAAACAGAGCTTTTTGAAAACGTTCTCCAAAGCGGATATATTTGAAAACGCCGCTTTCGCGTCGCAGTGTGGACAGCGAACCAGGAGCCTTTATTGAAAACGATGACACATTTTAGTCATGTGATGTAGTCATGTGACCAATTAAACTAAGATAGCGGAGGGCATTGCACAGCAGTTGTTTTGTTTGCTCTCAATTTTGACAGCCCTATTAAAGACTAATATTAGTTTGTACATGTAGATAGCTTTTCTTCACATTCTTTAACTCTCACTCGCTTTTCCAACGTTGTACTTTTGTGTTACTCGCAGCAACAACTCCAGCTCATTGTTAGTCCATTTAAAAAATTTGCTGCTTTTCCTCAACATTTTGCCGCAACATCTTGCGCTTCACACATGCGCAGTACTGGAACGTAAGTGTTTTTGGCTGTTTCAATGTGGACGCACAACTCTGTGAAAACAAATGAAAATGATAGTGTGGACACAGAGCGTTTTCAGACGTATACGCCGTTTTCAAATTTATCCGAGCTAGTGTAGACGTAGCCTTAGTCTCATTCTATCCCTGGTATCCTTTGCCACACCAACAGTCTGCATGACCTCCTTCACTACATCTGTGAACTTTCTCTGTGGTCATCTTCTTCTCCTCCAGCTTAACAGCTCAGCATCAGTTGGCCCGTGCATCCACCATCTCTTCTCTGACCATGTCCAAACTATCTCGACCTTGTGTCTTTAAATATGTCTCAACAATTGTTAACCTGAGTTATCCCTCTCATGCACTCATTTCTAATTATCTGGCCACTGCTAGTGAAAATCTTAGGTCTGTTACCTCCAGCCAGACCTCCGGTGTTTTTATCAGCGCCACCATCTATAAAACATCAATCATAGCAGGTGTCACCATCTTGCACACACACTGTTACTGTTGCTGTTATCTTTCTGTCACAAATCACTCCTGACACTCGTCTCCACACACTCCACCCTTCCTCCACCTTTCTTGCTTGCCACTCTTGCGCACCTGTTACTTTGGATGGTATTTAAAGTCATCTACCATCCAGCTGGGCTACTGTACCCATTTTCTGCCACTTTAAATTTTAAAAATCATTGCATGTGTGCAGACTTGAGGTGTATTCACCATTTTTGAAAGAGCTTTAGTATGTCTGCACACTGTTTACCACACACTATGACCCCTCAAACCTCAATTGATTGACTTGATCAAATTCAATCAGAGAAACTTGTGTAGCGAGAAGCGTTGTAATTGTAGGCGCAGGTTCTTTTGACATTTTCTGTTTTCAAGGTTTCTGCTTTTTTTTAAAAAAAAAAGAAATTCCGGCAGGGGGAAAACTTCATCATCGCAACATCTCACAGCTGCTCCAACAGCTTCCAGCACATCGTTATTCATAGAACATTCGCTCAGCTGGGCTGACATTCAAGTTTAATTTATAAATATATTCAGTTTATTCACTCTCAAAGTCGCATTTGAATGTCTTCAGCTTAAACTTGAACACACACACGCACACATAAAACAATACAAATTGGAGACTGTGTCCAACCATTATCATCCCACAGAATCATCAGTAACACTTGTGGAGAAAAGACTACAAAATGCAGTCTTTTCTTGATTTTGTTTATAGAGAAATTTCAGTTTCCCACACCCATATTTTATTTTGAATTGTTTTGTGTAGTGTACCAAAACAACCACCCTCACACTGAAACCACTTTCCAAAACACATACATCACCAACACCCACACCTATATGCATGCACATGCCAGGTTGCTGCAGCTCAGATCTGAGCTCATCTCACTCGTGACACGCTGTATGTGTAATGTGATTTGACAGGTATTAGCTGTAGGCGCTGAGCTCCTGGACCAGGCACCTCGCACGGCCTCTGACACAGCATCCTGGCAGACCGCACTGTGCCAGCTGCCCCTAACAATCATGATAGAGTCACCTTTATAAAAACACACATGCACACAAGCATCCAGAGACAGTGACTCATGTAATAGCAATAGCAGAGGAGAGCAAGGGCAGTTATGTTGCACGGCGCTTGGTATAGATGTCATTTCCTCTGGCCATCGGCCATCAGTTTAGATGGACACATGCGACCAGTCTGTATGCGTGAGCTCCACCCAGTATATGCAGACTACAACAACAACAACCGTGCGCAAAGAAGAACAACGCAAATCCACTAGTGAAGTTAAACACACGCATGTGACTCACTTTTTCCTTGAGCTCATCTAGATCCATTTGGATTTGATTTGTCAGCTGGTGGAGTCACAGGAGGCCTTAGCTGATCTCACCTGTCGTCAAGGAAGGGATTAGTTACAGAGAGAGAGCACGGAGATGGAAAGAAAGATCGGGAAATCATCAGTATGAAATAAAGACGGACTTGGAGTTTAGGGATTTAAGAATGAGTCCATAATAGTTGAATCTAACACTGTTTAAATCATTTAGGGTGATGTAGCAAGTGGCCTTTTTCTGTTGTGCCTGCACCTTTGACATGTGTATGTGTGCACGTCTGTGAATCAATGAGAGTGTGTCACACAGAGGGAAACAGTCTGCTCTGTCAGAGTATTGATGTTCCCTCTGCTGCTCATCCCCTTTCCTGTTCACTCCTACTCAAACCCGCTGGGTACATGCATGAAAAAGAAAACAGGAAAGGTACACTGTCATGTAAACACGTTGTTGTCCAGACAACATTTTTGCCCCTGATCAACAGTGACTCTAAAAAAGTCTTGAATCAAGACCACTAGCTGCTATTAGTAACAGAGCCGAGAAGTTATTTCGGGTAAGTGAGAACAACTTTCTTGCTTTAAAAAAAGGTTCATAACTTCTTGTCATCCTTATGTTCTTCTTTCCTATGTCTTTTACAAATGAGCAAAATTGGTAGTATTGGTGCTGTTTAGTGTTTCTGGCTTGTCCAGCAAAAACACCTGTCACGTCATGTTATGTGAAGGCTACAATAAACCCATAAAACAATACATTTACTCATGTGTATCTTTGCCTCAAGTGTTAGATTTATCTGCGACAACAGCCGTGAACCTCAGCTGTGCACTCATGTCAGTGCATGAAAACACTTATCATCTCCTTTAACTGCCGTCTATGGTGTTTCCTCCACAGATTTGTTGTCAGAATTTTTTTGAGTACCTTATAATGTCTTAAATAAAGCCCTAAATAGATCTAGATGCATCATTTCTAATAAAAATGCAGTTCTATACATCTATTCTTCTGGAATTTTATCTCTATCAATAAAATTTGGGCAACACCGCTGTGTGTTGTGCTGTTTAGCCCCATTGCCTCACAGCAAGACGTTTTTGAGTTATGCAACATTTCTGTGTGGAGTTTGCATATTCTCCCCATGACTTTTACTTCAGGAATTCTTTGGGACTGTGTGAACACATGCATGTTAGATTGATTGGTGACTTTAAGTTGATCTTAGATGTGAATGGCTGTGTGTTTCTTGTTAGGCCTGTGGTACATGTCTAAGGTTTACCCCGCTGGGTTAGGCTCCAGGCCAACTGCAACCCTGAAAAATGGATAAGTGAAAGAAAATGAATGGATTGATAAATACAATTTTTGGTTTTCAGACCTGAACTCAAACAGTTTTAGTGTATCGGAGACACATTATTAAAGCCATAAAACTGTATGCTATTTTCACTTAAATCATTGTCAAGCCTGTAGACTCCTGGTGGAGCATAGGGCCGCAACAACACCACGCCAACGGACTCTGTTCTGGACCGTTCTCTTCAGCTGGGTCCACATCATTCCGGTGGCCTTTACTTCACTCTTTTCACTAGAAAAAGAGTAAGAATCGATTTGATAGTGATTTTAAAGCTTTAGGTTATCCAGTTTTATTCTTTTAAGGTAGAGACAGGCTCTGTTTTCTTTTCTGATTTTAGGATTCATGCTCGGCTAATACAATATGTTTTCATATTCAAAGGCTGAATATTAGAATAATGTAAATCTTTACCATTTCTTGCAAGACAGCAAGTGAGTGCATTATACAAATGCTGAACTAACCCATGGAATTTCAGCTAACCTTTTAAAGCACTTTGATATGAGTTTAATCCACTGTGTTTGCATTTTAGTTTACTATTGATTGAGAATGCATATTTTGATATGCTATTTTGCTTCCATTATTTTGCAGCAGTGAGCAGAGAGGCCAGGCCAGCAGGGTGGAGTGGATGTTGG